AGTATGTGTGTATCTGATGACAATGTGAATAAATTCTACAAATGAGTTATTATGATTAACAATGACTTATTTGAACAATGAAATTATTTTTTCTCCCTTGATCATGTGTGTTTTTCTGACATGACGGAATTTCCTTTCTTGTCAGGATTTTTAATCAAAATTAATAACAGTTTTAAACAAATTTACTATTTATTAATTTTAATAAAATATTAATTAAATACTTTATTATATTATACCATTTGATTATATTGCATAATTATTATTGTTTATAGCATTTTGATTAATTAATAACAAATTTGAATTAAATCAAATGATTTAGGTGAAATTTATGGCGTTAATTATTATGAGATACATTTACACTAGACATGATAACAACACGACAATGACATTTATATTCTTCAACACTGAGCACATCTTACCGTGTCGTAGTCGTGTAGTTATTGTGTCTATTGCAAATGTACCTTTAGTCTCGCTATTCGGGAAGTGTATGTTCACCTTTTCATTCTAATTGCATACATGCGTCTTGAAGTCTGTATTTGGGGAAAACATGTTTGATTTAATTCCGAATTATTGAATTTCAACCATTGAGATACAAAAACAGTACAATTGAAAAACAAATAAAAAGTAAGGATGAAATAATAAAATACATTAAAGGAATAAAAGCCTCTAGGATTGTTGGAAGCATTTCATTTCATTTATCTATCATTTTGAGACATATTTTTCGAGGTCCTCAACCCCTTCTTTGAACACATGCACTCATCAAGATCATTTGACAGATGTTTTTACATCTTCCGCTAAATGAAGCGGCCACGAAAACCTTAAAGGCATGTGTCAAAACTAAATTTAGATATTATTGATTAACTAAATATTGCTTATTTGAAAATTATATTAATAATTACTGTTCGTTCTGCAAATAGGTGTTCTGGGAGAGGTTCAATTTATCCATCTCTTTCATTCTTCTCTTAATGAGAATCTGTTGTTTAGCATAGTTTATCTAGAAAGCATATACCATATATAAATATTATCTTAATACTACTGTAATAATACTTTATATTAATAACAAATTTATAGGCATGTACTAAAGTTAAGGTAAATACTATATTGTTTAAGACATTGACTGCCAGAACGCCTTCACCATCTAGATGAGGACACCATTATCTGGCTTGAAACCATGGACATACCTGTGTAGCTCCTGATATGGCTTCACACGAACGAATGAACAAAATGCCAGACCTTAGTTTCTTTTCCATGTGCCAAAACAAGTACGCATGTACAAACATACTTTTTTGAAATTTTTTTTTTAGTTCGATATCATCAAGATGGTGTGTCCAATTGGCGGGAAAATATTAGGAAACAAGTAAACTCATCACCGGCAATGGGGCAGTACTTTTTATTTCCTCTGCCAAGTGCGAGTTTTTTTGGTTGCTATTCGTTCAGAGGGTGTCCTCCACTCGTGCAATCGAGTGTACTGCCGGCAACATAACACAACAAACATACATACGTTATTTGTACATTATCGTCTAGGTGTATCTTCTTCGAACTATCAGCCGTTAAGTCTGTGGTTCTTCTACAATGTATAAATAACAATAATGTACCATAATAAACAGTAAAATGTTACCCTAGTTTTGGCAAGTATAATCGTCTCTAGTGCCTTCAGCAACACCCTATGGAACAAGTATACTCGTCATTGGCAGTGAACGTGTTCAAAGTTTGTGTTAAATTGAACGCACTGGTTTGTATAAAGAGTTCAAACCATTGTTTGGCGATTTATAGGTTACTGAACGTGAATTTATTTTATTGTCAAGATTATTCCATAGTTTAACAACACAATGAGATAGACATCTCTTTTTTTGTAGTCAGTTTAAGGTCCCTGGATTTAACAACCTTTTGGGTTATCAATCAAAAGGTCCTTAGTTTGAGACCAATTCTGGTCACATTGCTAGAGTTCTCTTGAAGACATTTTATCTGTGTTTGCCTTTATCTCCCTTCCCGTAAGAGTATAAATGGGTACAGTACCTGGTATTGAGTGAATGATTCTTGGAATAAAATTTGTGGTGCTAAATTACACGCATAACTAGAAAAAAAACACTCCACAGGAATTTGCATTTTTTATAATTCATTCAGTATCAGGGAAAAAATTCCTATAATTATCATTATAATATGTCATTATAATATGTCTGTGTAGGGTGAGCATGTCATTGTAGGGTGAGAATTGTGAATGGTTGGATATACAAATAGTATTATCGTACAATAATACATTACTAAATGCAGAGTATAAGAAATAGAGTTTAACGATTCGTTTTGTGGGATTTGTGGAATAATATTGATATGGATGAGACCACAAAAAATAGTATCACTCTTATAGTTTCAACATATTTTTTAGGTACATATTACAGTAACTGGTAGTATCTTTGGTTTTAAGCTTTTCTATTTTCCTTTTAGGTCATATTTTTGTAAGTAGTTTTAGTTTAGTTGTACATTTTATAGTTACCGTACCGGTAAGTATTCCTGATATTTAAAAGGTAATATACAGCCTCATGGAAGAACACCACATTGGTGAACAAGCTCCTTTTATTATATCTCAAAGTAGGCCTATAATATATTTTAAGTTCTTTCTATTTTTGTATAATGGGACATGAGACCTTGATTGTAGTCTTGATTTATATTTTGAGGAGGAGAATATCGGATATGCAAAGTAAATGTTTTTGAAATTGTTGGGGTCCTCGTAGGAAGTTTGGATATCTATGTCATGGCTATTTATGCATTCAATAATTCCTTTGATAAAATCAATTATGTTATTAATGACATCCTTACTATCTTCGGTGAATTTAAAAAAAAATATCCTCAAACATTACATTGAAACATTATTGTCCTTGGACTTACCCAAGGATAGAAGAAGCATATTTATAATTGAGCTCAAACCCATTAAAATCTTGTCATATACTGTAAATGAAATAAACCTTTTACATATAGAAGTATAGAAAGTCAACACATTATGCTTGCAAATGAATATCTTAATGAGAGGTACAGTAGCTATTTCAAAACATATAGTCCCTGAACTTAGATTGGGATGCAAGCACCCACTCCCCCAGCGCATTCCCTAGAAATGCAACTGCAAATGATTATTTTAATGAAAGGTAAGTATTTTGAAAGCATTGCATCACTAAACTCCATTGCAACCAAGTCTCTTCTATAGTTTATCAGGTCTAGAATCATCAAAAATGTTATCCAACAAGTAGGAAACTAACACTTATGGCGCTGTACATTAGGCCTTATAAAAAATATTATTAGTTTATCACCCTATCTGGGCAGGAAAAGTGATGAGGAAGGGAGGCTTTTTTTTAAATTTTTTATTTTGCTAAAGCCAAATATTACCCTTGGGTTGTTTGCTGGTGCATTGATATTCAAAGTAAAACATGATTTAGATAATGCAAACAATATATACTAACTATTTAATAAAATAAATGAAAAAAATAAATAAATAAAATTTTTAAAAAAATTTCAAAATTTTTTTTGTTTTTTTCCAGTACCATAGAAGGCATGCCCGCGAGGGTAATAAACTAATTATTCTTTTTATTTGGGTCTTACATCTTTCTATTTGAGCACTAGAGATCTATTTCATAGTGCACCAGAGAGCATCCAAGTCCAAAATCTTTCAGGGCCCTAGACAGGCCTTCAACCCATGCCACTTAGGTTTATTCCTATTAAGTCTCAAGCCACTAGCTACCTCCAATTGCTCCAACTTGGCATGTATGAAACTCAACAGGAATTTTTTTGCCCAAGCTCGGTGTTATTGGAAAGGATTGAGTTTGATCCCAAAGTAGCATTCCCAAGCATGTACAACCCAACCAACAGTACAAGGCTATGATAGTGCACTAGTTATCTAGATTTTATGGGTTGATTTTTACAATCTTTTGGGAACATATTGGATATTGAATGAGATTTTTTCTAAATTATCTGTTAATTAGTGAGAAAACTTTGTAATCATTCTAATTTTCTGTTGAATGTTAATGAATTAATATATTATTACAATTAACTAATATTTTTTTTGAAGTGTTTAAGTTTATTTGATTTTGTTTTGCTGTATATTATTACATCATTTCTATGTTTTAACCTTGGCAACAATAAAGAGGATGAAATATTGATACATTCACACAAAACTGAGAGTTTGAACTATAGAGGGCGCTTGTAGATGTTGATGTTATCTCAGCACATGAAATTTTTTTAGTGATGTTGGTATAGCCATGTGATACATCAGAAATTTGCACTTAAAGAGGATAATTATCTGGTGTTTTTTTATCAAAGGAAAAAAAGCATTGACGTTATAACCATAAACTATGATTCAAAATCCTATTAAAGATCTATCATAAAACATCCTAAGCTTCTATACGTAATTTTCTGATGTTTTAACATCAATGTCAAATCCTTTATCACGTTTTCCTTACAGATTTCACTAGCACAGTTTTATAGGATTTATCAGATGAGGGTCTTCAGCAGTTCAGATGTCATGTTTTAAAAATTTCGATACTACAGGCTTTGTCATCATTTCTGATTGAGCCTGTATACTCTTGAAATTTCTGTTATTGTATTATGGTAGATGCTAGTGTAATGTGAGGTGATAGGCTTAAACCAAATCATTCCACTATGATGTGAATTATGTTGTAGTATTTTTTACTTTACTGTTAAATGCCTTTTGAATTTGACACGTAAATCAACTCTATAAATACCACATTGGAGATTGTTAATGATGCTGCTATCTTTCATTAAAATTCTAGTTAGATAATAATTGTTAAACCATGAATGGCTGCTAGAGGGCAGTATATATGTTTATAATTTGTTTGTCAACTGCCTTCAATGCTATTCATACTAGTAAACATCATTTATTTATATAAATTAAGATGATGGGTTAATAATTAAATCCTTCAAAACACTTCTTTATTATACATATTTTATATATATTTCAATTTTAATTAATTGTTTTTTTCTTTGCTTTTTAACAGTTGAAAAACCAAGTTTCAAGAAGGAGATTAAAGACAGATATGTGAGTGAAGGAGACAAAGTGGCGATATCCTGCGAGCCCCTTGGTAATCCCGTTCCCAAGGTGTACTGGAAAAAAGATGGCGAGATCATAGATACATTAGAAGGTGTAAAAATTTCAAAAAAGTAAGTAGTGCTTAAAAATTCATTTCGTAAAACTTTAATTTGGTGTGCAGTTTTGCCATTTTGTGCATATGCAGAATTTGACCTAAGAAAGAATATGACCCCACCCCATTTGCATTTGAGAAGTGCTTGGGCTATATAAAGAGACGTCTTTCCTTTCATCTTTCATTTATTTTAGGATGAATAAACTGTTTAATAGACAGGAACGGATCCAGAGATGTCCAAAAGAAGGTTGGGCCCTGAAAGTGGGGCCAATCAAGTTGAAACCACCCTAGGGAGACCGAAATTTTTGTGTTCTAGACGCCCAAAAACAACCTCCAATTTAAAAAAAAAAATTTTTTTAACCTTCCAAAGTGGGTGGGGGGGCCTCCCCACTCTAAATCTGCCCTGATAGCTGACTAATCCTGTAAGGGCAGGTTAACAGGTATCAAAAATGCATACTGATTATTAAATAGTTGAAATATTGAATCTGATGGTGTACATAATTGATATATACCAACAAACAATTTTAATTAGAATTGTAACGTATATACAATGTTGTTGTTATGAGCAAGCTAATCCATGGTTGTTCTGAAGTGAATAATAATGATAGTGCCAACAACGTTAGTTGGTGTTTGCTATTTGCAATCAAGAGTTGGGCAATAAAGGCATATAGGAAAAAAAGTATTAAATTATCTATTTGATTAGGAACTTTTTTCTGCAGGGGGCTTAATTAATATGTAGACAAATTGTCACTCCACTTAATATGTACTGAATGTTAAAGATGGGCAGCAGTAAATGACTTTAAAAATTACTTTCTTCTTTCCTGTTTATTCATTTATTTAAGCCAAAGTAATTCCCTTGACATTTGTATTTAACATTGAAAGATATATAGTCAATTAATCTAAATATAATGTATGTAGCAATTGAGATATGTATGTAATGGTATTAGTTTATTAGTACATAGAGATAGAAAAAAATTCTTGAAATTACTTCTAAATTTATGCAATAATTTGATTAAATAGTAGACACGTGTACCAAACTGATAAATAAGTACACACAAAATTCAAACTAAAGACAGAAAGTATATGATTAAAAAATAGTCGTAACTATAGAATAGGGCCTACAAGTTAATGCTGTTTTGGCAGACAGAGTGTCTTTCATTTATCATCAATTTTACTATCCTATGTTCATTTTAATCTATTTTTATACTATTTACTCCTACCATATTTAAAATCATTTGGTCCTTATGGATTATAAATATTTTTTCCCACAAAAAAATTTCAACTTTTTTTGGTTGTATGTATTATGAAATGAATAAAACTTCCCATAAGTATCATCCGATAAAGAAAAAAAAGTGAAAGTTTTTAATTGGTACCAAATCAGATATTATCTTGGTATACCATTTCATCTTCAAATAATTGTTTTGTTCAGTTTAATTTCATTTGCATTATTTAATTTTAATTTTTTTGTTGATTGGCACAATGCCTTTACGGCCATGTTGAGGTGAACAATTGTTTCCGTGATTAAATAAAGTTATTATTTATTTATTTATGAAACATTAAAAAATTGGGTTGAGAGGAAATAGAAGATAAATTTTTGAAATTATTATTCTTTTAATCCTGTGAATGAAGACAAAATACATTAAATTAATTAATTAATTTTATTAATGTTCGATGTAGACATTACAATATAAAAAAAAAACATCAAGATGGTAAAATGAAAACTGAGGCAGACATATGACAGTACACCGAGGAATTCAAATTAAATAAGTATAATCAAATAATTACACAATTTGCACAAAGGTTTTAAAATAGTAAACATGACAAATGCAAAAATGTCTTTTTAATGATTACATAAGCTTTCGCTGTCTTTATCAGGTGCTGGTTCCAGGGGTAAAGCCGGCTTCCTAAGGACCCCAAATGTATAAGATTATAACAGGAGGGTTAGTGAGTCAGTCAGTTCATTCTTCATCAATTACCCGTATCACAATAATGTCAAAGACTTAACTACTCATTAATCCACAATTTTGGTGAGCATATGTCTTGCTTGGCTACTTTAATTAATTCTGATTTCATGCCACAGTTAAATCAATCATTTTTCGTGTTTGACCTTGATAATCGCCAACCAATTCCCAGGCCATTTTTCAATCGTCTGCTGTAGACATCATAGAAGAATTTTTTAAAACTTTGATTTTCATATCTGTCAGATGTTTTAAAAATTAATTGCTTGTTAGAAAATAAATTCCTTTTTTTTTTATTCAATTTCCTTGTCATTTACTGAAATACAAAGTAAATTAGATTTAATATTATATTGACATTTTAAGGTAATAGCAGAATTACGCCCAAACTCTAAGCTTATAATTTATACAAATTTCTACATAATACAGCAAAGTAACGATAAAAACTCTAATCATTTACCGTATAAAGTTTCCCTCACATGTCAAAAAATATTTTTAAAATTTACATAACTAATATTTTCCATTTATTTTACATATTTTATAGACAATAAATTTGATTTTATAGTAAATATATGTTACAAGTTGTCAGAAATAATTATTATCTTAAAATAAATGTCAGGAATATTCAGATTCAATCCAATTAAATTTAAATTGAAGAAATTATAATAATAATAAAAATGATTTATTATAATTTTGGTTACTTTGTCTTAGAGTCCTTTATGAATGTTCAAATATGTCCATGGTGTAATGTAAAAGTCACTTGTGGGTGAGCGTGTACATAAAAAGTTATCGTAGTGAGTAAAATATAATAAAAGTCATCCTGAAATACAAAATTTAATCCTGCAGTGATGTAAAGTTGCTGATGATTTGAGAATGTGAGACCTCCCAACTTTTATAGTGATGTAAAGTTAGCAGTGATTGGTCAACTTGGGACCATCCCAACTATTGCACTAATGTAAAGTTGTTAGCAATTGGTCAATGTGAGACCATCCTAGCAAGGATATAAAGCTGGTCAAGACCATCTCTCCTTATTACTGTGATGTAAATTGTAAGGTTGATTGTAATTGGTCAACATAAAATCATCCCTCCTATTTGTAAGGCTGATTGTGATTGGTCAATGAGAGACTATCCGTCCTAATAAGACTGATGTAAGGTTGGCTGTGATTGGTCAGTGAGGGCCATTCCTATTAATTCCCCTGAAAATGTTCTTTAATTTGTACCAGAGCCATGATGCAAAATCAGTGGGATGGGGGAGGTAGGGGTGCAGTCCCATAAGAGGATAAAAACCAAGAGGCCATCACCCCCACCCTTGAGATTTAAAAGCTTAAACAAGATCTTGAAATGAATCGATGTACATTGCATCTTAATTATTTTCATTTTCTTGGAGGAAGTGGCTTGAGATAGAGGGTGATATAACCTTGTTTATGTTGTTTATTATGACATTCAGTGATTGAGCAGAACTTCCAGAAACGAAGGTCATAATCTTTCAGCAATACCCGCTTAAAACATATATGGTTTTCTTAATTATGTATGTTATATCTTGATTTTGGTGTTTATGCTGTTCAAGGTTGTTTTTTGGTAGCATATAATTCTGTATCGTGTTCGTTATTTTAAAGGCAAAGTCCCACTGGAAATTTAATAAGGGTGTGTTCCTACTAGTGCTAGCTATTAGAACAGTTTTAGGAATGTTTCTACAAAAAGAATGATTTCCTGTGGCATTAGAAAAGGAGCCTATGAAAAAAATTAAAAAATTAGTTTTTTATTTTTCGTGCCAATGGGATGTTTGAACGGAATCAGTTCTGTGTACAACAGGCCAACAGTGCAGTTGTTAGCCTTGGTAATCTGATTTACCAACCAATGATGATAGAAGAAATCTGAATTTTCATTAGAAACACGCCCTAAGTCATCTTGACTTTTGTGTATATTTGAGTGTTTTACTGAGTAAATGTAGCAAATTTAATCAATTAATCACTCAATCACTGATGTCAGATTTGATGTCTGTACTTTAGTGTTGGTGTCCTTGTCATAAATCATGTCAACAGTGATTAGTTTGATCGATTTTTTGCAGTTTCCTAAATAAAATTTTAACATTTCTATTTTTGCTTCCTTTTGCTTTATATCAATTATTGATGTTGATATAATAGTTTAAGGACATAACCCCTGGGAAGACCAGTGTTCATAAACTGATCAATCCTCTGTTATAGTATTAGTAGTATCATATGTGACCTATATATTATTATTTTTTACTATTTATAGTTTGAATTAAGCTTGTCATCTTAAACTTCTGAATTAAAACTATTAAAATGGACAGAAAATGTTCTTAAATGTGTTAATATAATTCTTTTAAAATATTACCGTACTTGCGCGAATAAGCACCTTGTTTGAAGCGCCCTCTTGAATAAGCGCCCCTCCTAATGTGAAAATTTCCTTAAGCGTCTCGTTTGAATAAGTGCCCCCTCAATCATACAGTACAGTACATCACCAACTTAATTTTCTGCATCAACTAATCGCATCTCTCTTAAACATTGTCGGTCGGTCAGTCTATCTATCCATCTGTCGGTCTATCATGAGTCTCCATTGAGTTTAACATGGTTTTCAGTTTTGATGCACCTTTAGAATGCCGTTCTTGTTTTATTGATACCCTTTTTGGATTTACAGCTACCAGTATTTAATATCTAAAAATTAAAATACTGTCTGGCCAGTTTCAGTTAACAAAAATAAACTGACCACATCACTCTCGTATTTAAGCAAGAAACCCTCCAATGATCCTGCTAATAATATCATAAGATTTTCTTTTTAGCAAGTCAATTATCCAATCAATCTTGGGATTGTGATTGTTGGCATGATTTGAGCTGCAGAGTGGAATCACATTCTTCTTAGGTCAATATCAAAATGAGGATATTTCTCTTGGACAGATGAGAGCTCCGATTCCTGGACAGACAGTATATTTCCAACTTTCATCTTCTTACATATTTGTCTAGGCCTAGTCCAACTCCTCTTTTTCTTTTTCCGACAGTTTGCACCTTCAGCATATTCTCATCTCAATTCAAGAAAAACTGCAATAATCCTGCCGGCCTGCTAATCTCAATTGGCCGATAGCCAACAAGATAACCACTACCCACCACCACTAATAATGCATCTGCTATTCTGCTGTTATCTAAATATTCACAGCATTCTTGTCATGAGCCATGTTC